AAAAGCGTAAGCAAGTGAGGAGCAGCTGAGGGAGCTAGGGTTGAGAGGACAGCTGATCCAAACTGGCCAAAGGGATATTCCATACCATGGAACATCATGCCCAGTATATAAACTTGGGGGAATTGGCCAAGAGACACTTACTGCTGCTCGGGAAGGGGCTGGGCATCGGTGGTGAACAATTGTATTGTGCATCACTTGTTTCTCTTGGGTTTTATTCCACTCTATCTTGTTATTATCATAATAATTACAATTATTATTACTATAATTAGTATTATTGTATTTCATTTTGTTCCAATTACTAAAGCATTCTTTTCTCAACTCACAAGTTTTACTTTTTACCTCTACCAGGAGTGGGGCAGTGGCAGGCAGTGAGTGAGTGGCTCTGTGGAACTTAGTTGGAAGCTGGGGTTAAGCCACAACAACCCTATAGAACTGAAGAAGTAACAAAGGTTATTTAGGGTAAGATTTATCTTAAACTTGTATTTAACTTAAGCTGTTCTTGTTTACTTGTAAGCCTATGATAGGAGGGTTTTGCAGGGGGGATCACAGCTTGAACCACAATCTCAACAGTCTCTTTAATAATTTTAAATAACTTCTATTACTCAAAAGTGCCCTAAATCCAGAATTTACAAAACCTTTTTCCGGTTAATATGAAAACATAAAACTAAAATCATTGCCACAAAGTTATTAGTTACAAGTAACAATAAGGGAAATTCTGACTTGGGGTAAGAAATTTGTGCAATGAGAGTAGTTACTAATTGAAACAGTTACCCACAGAGGTCGGTGTATCTCTATCCTTGCAGATTTTCAAAATTCAGCTGGACCAAGCCCTAAGCAACTTGATCTAACTTTGAAATTTGTCCTTGTCTTGAGCAGAGGTTCTTAATAGTGATCTTGAACATTTCCTTCCAACCTATAAAGTGCATCTGCAATAGCATTGCAAACGGTGTCACAATTCAGTCAATTGATGCTTAGTAAGTTACATCCTCTACACAGCTTTCACCCGTATTTTTTATTCCAGGTTGCTCTTACCTATAAGTTCTATAATTCCTGAATGAATATGGAGATCCTGAGCAGCAAGAAGAGACTCCTTCTTTTGACTATAATACTTCATTATAATGTCAAAAAGAATCTTCTTGTATGTATTCAGATTGCTGGGTTCATCAGTGCTCTGAGGTAACTGCTGACTAATCATCACTATGAATTGGTCGGGAAAATACTCCAAGCATTCAATTGCAGCATAGAGCCATCTGTCAAGCCTGTAGAAGAAAAAGTCAGTTTTAGTGCTTACTTTAAAATGCTCTGCCTATTCTTATTTATTCCTTTAAATAAAACTACATAGAAACAACCATGCAGGTATAGTCATGTATTTGAACCACAACACTGAACTTGTTTTTACACAGTTGATGTAACTTATTTCACTACAGCATTTCAAGGACTTGTTCAAAATAAGCAACTTGCATTGTTTTCCTATGCTACAAGTAATACACCTGAGGTAGACTCAAATCAAAAACAAGCTGTATTTATGCTAGGTTGTCACTGACCCCAGGAATTCAGCTAGTATTTAAAACGAAACACCAACCCACAAACTTGTGGGTTGTGTACAAACTTACTCAGGCAAGTTTAAGCTACATGTAACCTCTCTGTCCAGGAAAGTATTTGAGATAACCAGGTCTTCTTCTTTGCCAAAACAGTCTGGTTTTGTCTTCACTGAAGACACCAAGATATCTTCTAGAAGAGGAATATCAATTAACTGCAGCAATCGTAACAGAGTTTGCTGTTTCCAAACATCTTCTATTACTGAAACCATAAACAAACAAAAAATCCTCAGAAACAAGATCTTATGTAAACCACTAACCTTTGTTTTCACCTCACTCAAGAATGTTTTAAGTCTTCAAAGCAAACACGCCAACAGCACAGTGTGAAGCTTCTCTGTTGGGGAAAAAGGCATCAAAATAGGAATGCTAAAAAAATCTCTCTCCCATCATACTAGAATTCATAATAATCTATTCTAATTAGTAGAAGTGAATAGTAAAGGAATCATATAATAAAAAAGTTCTTAATCTTAAACCCTACTTCCTTCAGAAGTGATAATAATGGCCAGTCTTCGCGAACGAAGATTTTGGGAAAGGTCTTTTACCTTTCCAGCCTGCGCAATGGATTTTTTAGGTGAGACACAGCATGCGCTGAACTGAGCCCACCCTTTAATCCTAAGGTTCATCTGCCGGGGCCAAGCAAGCTTGGACAATGGCAGTGAGGTCCTCAGGACGTAGGTTTGTTTAGAGTGACCTTCTCATAGATGGATGGCCTCACAGGGCTAACGGGCTCCATCTGCCCGGGGGGACCGAGGAATCAAACCTGGGTCACAGCAGTCAGAGTCCTGCATGCTAACCACTAGGCCACCAGGGGTCCCTCCTTCAGAAGTAGTATTTGCATAAACAGCACCATTCTGCAAAAACATAATCCTGTTGTGTTTCCTTCAATTTACTACAAGCATTTATCCATTTGGCATTCTTTTAGATATTCTATCATGTGTGACATGTTAAATTTAGGATTCTGAGAGGCATTGTTTAACAGAAATGGGATACTCACTCCAAGATGCAGTGAAGAACAATCAAGTTTTAAAATGAAAAAATTTAATCCTCACCTTTTTTTGAAAGCAGATGAATTGATTCATTAACCATGATCTTTGGAGGCAAAGATGCATGAACATAGATTGATTGGAGAAGCTCCTCTACCCTCTTTTTATCAGCTGCTTCTAATGCTGAGGGGTTTGAAAGTGTGTCACACTTTGTTCTGCTTAGGGAGGAAAAAAAAAAGTTAGTTGTATAACATATGATTAGGACATGTGTCTTTCTATTACTTCCTAAATTGCTCTTAAATCAGAACTTTAGGACTTCATTGTATCTGGGGTTTGTCATGCTGCTGGAATTCCAGTCATCCACATCTGCTTTGTGGAAGGGGCAAGGATATTGATTCCAAATACTGTTTATGAGTTCCATTTCCTTAACCAGCATTCAGTACCTACCTCATTCATGCTAATTCTCAGATTTCAGCACAATTGACTGCAAAACCAAATTATACCTAGGCTTATGCTACTGTGCCAGACTCTATTCTAAATAACAAAAGGCAAATCAAAGCACTTTAACATTACCAAGAAATTCCCAGTAGCTTCTGCAATTTAAGCATGACATTCTCAAAACTGATACATGGCTTTGAAAAGTCTCCAATACATGAGTTAGACAGACATAACTTCACCTACAGGTAACCCACCTTAACTTATTAAAAAAAAAAAAAGAAAAATTCGAATAGTTTGGAGTAACTCACTTGGAACATCTTTTTGTTTTCTGTTTGCAGATTTGCTCAGGAGACAAGCTTTCATTGTTCTCATTCATTCCTTGAAGAGGAGGATCAAGACTGCTATTTACAAATCTATAGAGACTAGTGTCTGTGTCTTCAAACTCTGTTTCTTTCCCGTTCTTGAATAAGTAAAGCTTTGCTCCAACTGGCTCAAACACCTTGTGATCCATCAATGCTTGGCATACACGGACTCCTTTCAGCCGAGAAATATCATTACAGCTTAGGTACATGCTTTGCATAAGATGGCTCAGTACCACATCGACAGCATTTGAACCAGTGAAACAGTTTTTATATGTTTTCAGATGTTGTCTACGTCTTTTGATTTCCAGTTGACTGTGGAGGGCACGTATAATACCATTCCACAGCTGAGTTGCTTGAAAAGGACCATTGCAATCTGCAAGACATTTATACGAGAGTTTTACAGATTTATAAACCTTTAACATTTAAACTCCCATATTTTTACACTGTGAATTTAGTTACATATATATTATAAAAAATATTCAGAAGTCAGCTGAATTTTACCAAGACAGAGAAAGACAATGCTTCATGAATCAAGTCCATCTTGTAAGCTAACTCACACCCATTAGAGCCAAGAGAACAAAATGACACTAAAAACAGGAGAGGAAGCTTTTTTTTTTCATTGTTATGACCACACATACTATATGTATGGGCTGTGTACATATACATTAAAACATTAGAGAATCACAGAATGGCCAGGACTTTCAGGGGCCTCTGGGGTCCATCTGGTCCAACCTCTCTGCTCAAGCAGGGCCACCCAGAGCTGGTCGCCCAGGACCACGTCCAGACAAGTTTTGAATATTTCCAAAAACAGAGATAGCCTCTCTGGGCACCACTGAAAAGAGTCTGGCTCTATCCTCTTTGCACTCTCCTTTCAGATACTTGCAGAGAACCCCCTGAGCGGGTGACAGACAGCTCCCGGCTGAGCAGTCCCAGCGCTCCCAGCTTCACCTGGGAGAGGTGCTCCCTAGTCCCCAGTTGAACCTCACACATAGTTACGAGCTCAGCAGATGACAAACCAGCGCTTGCAATGCATTAATCCCAACTGCCTCCCGGTCGGAACATCCGGCCACGGCTCCACGCCGAGCCGTACCAGCAGCGGCCGCCGCAACCCCGGCTCCGGGGCATAAGGCCGGAGGAAGCTCTTCTGTCTCCTGTTCAGCTGCCAGCCCCTCACTAGCCCCGTCCCGCCCGCCGACCGGCCATGGGTCCCTCCCGCGGCACCAGCAGCCAGGGCCGCCCATACGAACGCTGGGCAAGCGCCGGTCCCTCGGAGCCCGCTCCGCTCCCGGCGAGGCGCGAAGCCGCCGCCAGCCCCCCAGACACTGCGGGGGGAAAAAGCTGCGGAGAGGCGGAGACGACGCTCTTTCCCCACCTTGCCGCCGCCGCCGCCCGCTCCCCCGCCGCGGCTCTAACTCGCTCCGACTCCGGATCCTCCTGAAGCGCGGAGTCAAATACCCCGCCATGGCCGCGGTCGGGCCGCTGGCGGAAGCCGGCGGAGCGCATCACTTCCCGCCCGCCGCCCCCGGCCGCGCCCAGCACCGCCCCTGCGGGTCGGAAGTGAGCCGCGCTCCGGCCGCCCCCGTCTCGCAGCTCTGGCCGCCGCCGTCGCTATGGAGTAGCTGCAGCGGGACGGGGCCGGAACGAGAGACGGAGCCGGCGTGACAGGCGGCCGGCCGGGCCCACAGGGCGACGGGCAGCCGGGCGCTGTGCTGGCAGCTTCCCGCGGGCTCAGGTGAGAGGCCGCGGCCCGGGTCAGGAGCGGCTGCCCGTGGCCTGGTAGCGCTGCGCGGGGCGGGCAGGGCCGGCCGGCTCCTGTGGTGGGGGGCGGCGGGCTCGGGTCCCGGGTGCTCGGCGCTGAAGGGTGGAGGGGAAGGGCCGCTCTGGAGGCGCGATCGCTGCGCGGGCAGGGCCTGGCAGGGAGCGCTGAGCTGCCTGAGCCGGTGGGTCGTGGGTCACCTGCCGCCTGTGGCCGCGGCCGTCCCCGCCCCGAGCGCGCTGCCTCCCGCCTGCCCCGCGGAGCCGAGCGCGGGCACCGACCCCGCGGGGACGAGCGGAGTCCCCGCGCCGCTGGCGGAGCGGTGCGAGCCCGGGCTCGCTGTAAATACAGTAAATACTTTGCCCGGAGGACTGGCCCGTATGAGGCTGTCCTGGGGTTTGTGCAGCGTATAGGCTGAGTTTCGCCTGTCGGCAGGTGGCAGATCCCCGTTCGTGGATCTCGTTCCGTGAGTGTTCGTTAGGAATTCAGCTGCAGCTCAGTACCGAAATGGGGAATAAAAGTCACGAAGGTGATTTGCAGTGAGGGCAGTTACTCCGTGCGCAATGCTTCATTGCATTTGATCTTCCCGTTGTTTTTATAACAAATGCAAAGGTTGGTTGTGCCTGAAAAATGTTGGGGTTTTCTCCTTTTGTTTGGTGTGACTCAGTTTGTCCAGCATTTATTTTTTCTATGAATTCATCCTGATTTGGGACAGATGGATGTGATGGGGTTGGGTGGCATGAAGTACCCATGCACCTGCCTGTTGCCTTGGTTCCCAAAGGGGAATCCAGGCTTATTATAGTCAAAATAGTGGTAGAATGTACATTGCAGTGCTGTATGGTATGCACCCATATCCATACATCAGATGCAGTTATGAATTAGTTCAAGGATAAATTAATGGATTTACATCTTGCAGTTAATTGTTTTACATGAGTGAGAATTAAAGAATGGTGGGGAATCTTTGTTTTGGATTTCAACAACCTTTATTTCGACATTTTGGATATTTTGCCTTATTTCTTAGTGCAATGTTGATTGTTGCTTACTACCTTGCCAAGTAATTGTCCTCATCATGCAGACAATATCATTGCTGATGTACATCAGGATGAAACCCTTTATCGATTGTAAGGGGCATTCATGAAAAGGACACATTGATCATCCAGATTTTTTTAAGATTAGTCCCAGGTTTCATGGACTTAGTATCAGTAGCATTAATATTACCCATGAAATTCAAAGAGGGAGAAATCAGAGTTCTTAATGATTTGTTGCATGTCCTATGTTGCTTGTCCAAACACTGTTACTCTTCAGATTTTGTACTTGTCTCATTTATTACCTTTTAATTTTAAATGAAAATCTCATTGTGGGTGACTGACTTTATTGCCACTTGGTTATTAATTTTTCTAGAATTAGCAGACCAGTCTTAAAAGAACAGCACAAACCAGTTTTCCTGCAGTAGAGAACTAAAGTTGCGTATTTCTGATCTGGTTAAATTGTCATAATTTGTGGTATCACAGATACTACACAAAACAGATATTTGGGGGAGGGCATGGATTTTCTAGGTGCATTGTTCCTGTCGGCATAATATAGAGCTTTTGCTGAAGTTGGTAATAACAATCTTTTTTATGGAGCAAGATGTACTATTTTAGCTTACAGTCAAATGTTGACATGAGAATTTCTACAAATTTACAGTTGGATGGATGTAAACATTAAACCACACTATTTTGAGAAGTAAGTTTCATGGTACTCCTTGCTCAGTAGCTAAATTAAACAATAGTTTGCATACTGTCAAGTTGGAGAGGAACAGGTTGGACAGGGTCTACCAGGCTTGAATTTCAGATTCTAATGCTTCAAACACTGGAATGCTGTTAACATTCTCACCTAGTGGCTTTTCCAGGCTACTCACTGCAGTTAGTCTGTCACCCATAGCAGTGGGCACTTCTGATTTAATGAATACTACAGCTTTTTTCCACCGCCTGTGTAGAGAAGCTCCCTTTCAAAATTACACAAAGAAATTTGAACATGCACTCACAGGCATTTTCGTCATAATATCTCTGCAGTTAATTTTGCAGAGCCTTTTATAGTTTTGAGAATCCTAGCACAAGATGGTGTTTCATTGGTACTAGAGAAGGTTCAATGGCTGGGAGTGAATGAAACCATGGAAAAAGCACAAGATCTAAACCCAAATAAATTAGATTTATGATTATCTTAAACTCCCTAGGATTGATTTTATAGTCCTTTAGCATATACAGTATGCCCATAGAGTAGCTGCAGAATAAAATCTCTGAGAGCTGGAAATGCCTATAGCTCCTTTTTAGAATACTCCATGATCCTTTTCTCTACCATTTATCAGGCTAATGAAAAGTTCCTTTATACAGGGACATTAGCTTGTGTCTGATAACTGTTTGGTCTGAGGCTGCAAAGTTAGGAGTTGCAGGTGCTTTTCCATAGCACAATTCATAAAGTAAACTGTAATAATAAAATGTCACATACTGTAATGAAACTACTTAATAAAGGAATTCTGCGTTTCGGTAATTTATTTCCAGGTATGTTCTCAACCAAACGTCAGATACCAAACCAGTATGTAGTTATTCTGGAGCTTATTTTGTTGATTTCAGACACAGTTTCTTTTATCTAAAAGTCACAGTCCCTGCAATTAAGACAAACTCCACCCTTAACATGCTTGCAGTCATATCTGTTTCTGCTCCTGAGTTGGCCTATTGAAGCCATAACTGCTATTTCTGATTTAAATTTGAGTATTTGCAAGATTGAGGTCTCTGCAGCTAGATTCCTGTCTTTTTTTATAATATATTTTCTTAAAACTCCTAGTCTGATTTCTTCAAATAAAGTTGTGTCACTTCAGCTGACATGGAAATTGGAGAAGTATCTATGGAGCCACAGCATTAGTGTATTTCTACATTTCCCTGCGGGGGAATAGTGAAGGTGGAATATAACTGCAGCAATAGTTAAGGCACAGCAGCATAACTGTGCTGCTTCCAGCACTGTGCTGAAGTTTGCTTGGGGCTTGGCTTATGCTGTTGCACACAACTGCACTGGAGTGAATTATTCCATAACACACGTAACTTTTTAAGGAGTTTTATTTAGTATGTTTATTGCCTTTTTTGTAAAAAACCCCTTTATTTGCAATTTAAAACTAATCGGATTATTTGTCCAGATTTCTAATGCAATCAAATTAATAGTACCAGGGAGCAAACGTGTGCATGTCCAAATAATGTTAGTGTGGTTGATTTTAATCAAGTTTGACTGAGGTGTACAGGTGTCAAAAGTAAGTTGCTACAGGCTTTTTGGGATTAAGGAGCTATGAAGAACAAACAAACTCCATCTGTGTCTTGAATAGGGAAAAAGCTGTGGTGTAAATGCATGTATTGATAGACACCAGATAACCTATGTAGACTAAAATATTGCCTTTTAAATGTGTGTAATACCATGGAAAGAGTTTTAGGTCATACAAGCAAGCACCTCGTATCTGAGCAGGACATTTGAGCTGATTTGTCTGTGCTCACTGGATTATTTGTTATGCCTTTTGCTTCTTTTGTTGTTGTTTCCTTGACTTGGTAAACATCATCTTTATCACAACAGAATCTTTTTGCTTCCATTTAGATAGCAATAACATTCTCTATTTTTCAAAGAAGCAGTTTTACACAATAATATACCAATGAGTTGAATATAAGACAAATAAGACCATAATTGAAAAAAGTATTTCTGCAGATTTCAGTATATTTGCTGATGTGCTATTTTAGGTTTATTTTACCTTTAAGTTTAAGAAATAGTGCTCTTTACACCTTATTTGAAAGAGAGACTGAACAAATATCCTTGAATGTTGCTTTTGAATATACTGCATGGTACTGACTCCTGGAAATAATTTCTTCTTGCATTCTCTCTTCATCTTTGCTCACACTGATAAGGAAGATGAGTGTCTATCTCATTTTTTCATGGTTTGTTTGCTGCCTTTGTTCCTTCTTGTGTATACATTATCAGAGAGACAATTGTATAAACGCGACATAGGCTTCAGAACTTCTATCTCGCAGAATAGGCAAGTCAGACTTTTTTTTAATGACAATTTAGGAAACTCTGGAAGTATACACTGCAGGGGAAGATGAACTAAATTGGAAGCTGCCAGAATCTTTTAGCTCTTAAATTTGAAAGGTGACGTAAAAAAATCTTCCTTGTACAATTTTGTTAAAGTATAAAAAGATGGTATCTTGTTTCCTTCCCCTGCATTAATACTTAAGTTCATTAATAGTTAGATCATACAAATAGTAATGCCAGCAATCTAATGGGTAAAATACTGAATTTTGAGCCTGTATTTTGAAAAGCATAGTGTAGGAAAGAACAATTTTTTTTGCTTGTCATCTGTATAATACATATCTATTATTTTGCTGGTCTGGGATCTTACGTAATCCTTCCTTTCAGAAAATGTGTAGTTCCGTGAGCACTGGAAATAAAGGAGTCTGGTTTCCTTCAGATTTGTTTCTCTTTGTTGATTGATACTGATACATAAGGCGTGGACCTTTCCTGTCAGGGGGACAGTATATAGATTCTCTGCTTTATTCAATTACCCATTTTCAAGAAATGGTTGAATTTATTTGTTACATCTAATGAAGAACAATCAAGAGATTCAGAAGTTTCTGAGGAGGAGTAGAAGCAATGACGTATAATCCCATAGGCACGCAGGCACAGATACGTGTATGCAGTGTGAATGTGTGTATAACTGCAAAGCCCTGGAAGTTATATTTCACTATTCTTTTTGTGGCTTGCTCCTGTATCCTATTGGATCCTTAGAAGTTATAGTGTTCAACATGTACCTTTTGTTAGCAGAAATTGAGAGGACTCTGAACCCTTGTTTTTTTCTTGTCTTTGTAGGGTAATACATTGGTGCACAGTTGAAACCATGGAGTCCATGCTGAATAAATTGAAGAGTACCGTTACAAAGGTAACGGCTGATGTCACCAGTGCGGTCATGGGAAACCCTGTTACCAGGGAATTTGATGTGGGCCGTCATATTGCCAGTGGAGGTAACGGTCTTGCATGGAAGATATTTAATGGAACTAAAAAATCAACAAAACAGGTGAGTTATCAAGTAAAGACATACGTTTATAAGCATTAGATAACAGATTGATAGGTAGCAGTTGGTAAGTGGCAGTTAAAACCAAAATCCAACTGGGCAAACTAATGTTAAGAGTAGCAAAGGGGAACAAAAACCTCAACACTATTTAAATACAGTGTTCTCACCTATATAGGTGATATTTGCTTTAAGCTTTCACTGCTGGAGAAATAAGTGGTTCTGCATTCATAACATAGAATTTGCGACCAAGATCAAGAATTCATCTGAGTTAAAAGTGATCTGACAAAAAGGAAGAGGTTTTTTTTAAACATGGATGGGCTCCCCAGTTGGTTGTACGTTGCAACATTTTTTTGGCAGCAGTACTGGCTTTTTAAGTTTAAAATAATTGTGAAGTATGTCATCATTTGTTGTCAGGAAAAGACGCTGTAGTTTTTTGCTCAGCTGCCATACAGAAATTGAAACGTTAGAAATGTTAAGTCATGAGATACTGTAACAGGAAGGCATGGGATAGAGGAGGAGGTTGTGAAGGAAGTTGGTTGTGCCTTCTCTGTGCAGATCAGTATTGTTCCCTTTTAGTTTCCTTGAAGTATTAGGGTTTAGAGCACTAATACACAAACTTCTGACTCACTTGAAGTCACATGTGTAAATGAGTATGGGATTGTGACTTTAGAAGAAGGTTTGCCAAAAACAGAGTTTAAGAATTGTAATTATAGAAAATTATTTTGTTTTACTGGAGAAATGTGAAAAGTTTTTTTTCAAACTTGGAGAGGAAGTAGAATTTTCAGCATGTAAATGGAAGTGTTAATAAATTGTGGCCTTCAGTTAAACTTGGTGCTGAAGTGATGTGAAGTCACTTAGGCAATGAATCAGCTTGCTGCAGATGTACCAAAAAGAAATGGACACAAAGGAATAACTTTGAAAAATGTATATACAGTCTATTAGATGATGGGAAAATAAACTGTAGCAAATAGAGGAGAGATATAATATGCAGAATAAATAATCTATGAAGAATGTGTGATCTTATTGTGACAGTGTTGGAATAATGTTTAATCAGGTACTTTTGCCGTGTCTTGAAGCATCTGTTTAGCTGTTTCAGAGCTCTGTGCATCTAGTATTTACAGAGTTTACCCAACATACCAATTGGTTAGGGCTTTTTTTTGGTCTTACTCAACTATACAAATAATTGGTAACATTGGAAGTATGGTAGTTTTGATAGGTTTTATATGATCTATGTGTCCAGTAAGCATTTGACCTGTAGCAGGTGTAGCTTTAAGTTCTGGAGAGTTGTAGCAAGTTTCTTCCCTTGTGTATGTACAGAATATATGTAATTGGGTACCTGTCGATCGTGTTTTTCAACCTTTGAATGGGTGTTCTGACCAATTATTTTACGGAGCTTTGGTTCAGTTGTTACCACATGTGATCCTACCGTATCTCTGTAAACCCTGACTAACATCTGTACATTTGTGTGCCATCATTAGTCATGAAAAATACAACAGCAGTTGTACTGCTGGGAATTTTAGGTGGCTGCTGATTTGGCAGGAAATTAACCATTCATTATTAATATTAACAGTTAGGTAACATCATGACAACATTCTGTTTGCCATTGCACAACAAAACTGTGCAGCAATACAAACAGTTTATGGTGTGTTGTAATGCAGTATATCTATTCTTTAATATTATTTTTTTTATTTCTTTCACGTGTACCTTTTGAATGTTTGCTGGGCAGTATGGATGTGGCTGGCTGTCATGCTCCAAGTGGTAGCAGTCACTTTTGTGAAGTGATGCACATATTTGCTGTATTGCAAGTGTGTATATCTAACTTGAAACTACAAGTGTTTAGCTTTTTTTACAGTAAATGTGAATTGTATTCAGAGAAGCAGGATATAAGGGCTTAATTGCCCATGTTGTTGTGACTTTACAACAACACAAGTAATAGTTTAAGTCATTGTAGCCAGATAAAACAGCTAAATTTGGAGGTTTTAGCTGTACAGCAGATCCCACCAGAAATCTTTGTTTTCAGGATGAGTTTGTCAGTGGACAGTTACAAATATTCCATCTCTGGTGACAATGGATATCTATGATTGTATTCTTTTTTCTGAGATCTGCCTGGTTGTTTCTCCAGGATTTCTGAATGTTTGTGTGGGGTTTTTTTAATGTACCTTGTCTTTTCTTGCTTGCTTTGTAGGTGACTGAACCTAACAGAATGTGAGGAAATTACTCACCTGTGTGCCTATGTTTATCTGGTTCTATATTGTAGCTGGTTTGCTGCTGTTTGTTTGAAAGATTTATGACTCTGGTTATATATGGGCATATAATTTTACAGTATGCATTTCAGCTCATCTTGGATTAATTAACTTAGTCTTTATGGACTTATATATTTTCTGGCATAATATGGCACTTGTCCTTTCTTCTGCTTCTGTGTCTGAAAGTGCAATCATGAATAGATGGGGTAAGGTCACCAAGTTCTTGTTGGCAGCTCAGTTGTAAAACTAGCAGAATTCATCGATAATGATTTGCACTTCAAGACTACTGTAGTTGTGTTTAACTTTTATTGTGGTAGTACTAATGTATTATGGTAGGTAGGTAAGTCAACTTTCTGTTGTTTTGCCTGTGCATATAGTAACTTTGAACTTAAAGCTTCCTGTTATTCAAACTTTAAAGGCTGATAAATTTTAAAATTGAAATAGTTGTATTGCATACCTTATGACTGAAAGAAACTAGGGGGAAAGTAGGGTTATAAAAAAACATTGACAAGTTTATAGAAAATAAAACCCCCAAAAGAGGGAGGAAAATCTTTTTCTGGCAAAAGACCAGAGTAATACTGGAATGCTTTCCTGTGTTTTAGTTCAGAGACTGTTTTGCTTATCTCAGTGGGAGGCTTTGGTAAAATATCATGTGTTTGCATGTTGAGTTACATTTAATTTTTCATTTAAAAAAATGTGTGAGTGCATATGAGTAAAATAGAGGACAAAAATAAAAGGGAAAGCAAACATAAAATTTCTAAAATCAAGCACTTTGACTGCTACCTTTAAATTTCCTTTGCTTTTGTGTTTACAGTTTAGTTTTTAACATGATCAAATTTGAGTTTTTTCCATGAAAGTGCTACAGTAATTCAGTTCACAGGATAGATGGTGAACTGCATTTATTAAACATTTTGTGGAGTTGTTTTTTTTGCTTCCATGTTCTGTGCTTAGTTGCTGTCATTATTACTCCATGCTATTTAAAATTTCAGGATTTGAGTTTCTGTAATATATAGTGCTTGAATATTTTACATGTTTTATTAACATGCTTCCTCAATATCCAGTGGGATCAATAGGAAGAGGTATTGTTCCAATATCATTACATTTCTGCAGATTTTGGAGTCTTTACTTTAGAAATAATTTCTAGTTTTGTTTGCATCTCTTTTGACACACAAACCCATTGTCTTTTTGAATGCTTGCCTTCCTCTTGGGGTCAGGAGAGAAAGGGGCACACGCCTTGGTTGCCTGGTTGCCTTTTTCTGGTTCGAAAAAATTATTTCTCTCTCTCTTTCCCCCTTTCTTTCTCTTTTTGTAGTAGTTGCATTGACTAAGATAGGAGCAGAATTTTTGCATTCTCTTTAGTTTGAGAGGTGTTTATGTGGGTAAATAAGGACACATATTTTAAACTGTCAACGTGTGTTTCAAACTGGTGCATGTTTCATTAAGATTTCAGGATTGCAAACAGTCTGGGAGGATGTTGCAGGTTGACCCTAGCCAGCAGCCAAGCACCCACACAGCTACTCACTCACTTCCCTATCCCCAGCAGGATACGAAGAAAAACAAGAAAATTTGTGCTGCTCTTGGAGGGCAACAAAGAGAACAGCTGCATGAGGTGTGATGAAATCAACAATCTGCTCAGCCTAGTGGTGGAGCTGAGATCAAGTAGAAAGAAGTATTAGAGACTCTGAGGAAGAGATTGACTAGTGGAGCCACATGCTACCATACCTTAGACAAATGGACCTGCCCTCCACTTCACAAGAAGTAATGAATCCCCTACCCTCTCAGCACTGGGCAGAAGGAGGGGACCTTAGAGACTGAGGGGAGTGGAAACAGGTTTCTGCTCAGTGTGGCAGGTGAATTCCCTACCAACCTACCTTAGCTTCCCCGGTGCACTTATACAATTGATATGAGGCTCTGGAATCTGAGGGTCAGGGAAATGAGAACGTAGATGAGGGTTCTTCTGGCATGGAGGAGTTGCCTAGGGCAAGGCAACCAACCCCCCACATCACTTCCTCAATTAAGAAAAAAAGAAGTATAGTAGTCATTGGTGACTCCCTTTTGAGAGGAATTGACGGCCCAGTATGTCAACCAGACCCAACCCACAGGGAGGTGTGTTGCCTCCCTGGGGCCTGGGTAAGGGACATCATGAAGAAACTTCCCAGTCTGGTACGGCCCACTGGTTACTCCCCACTACTGATTTCCAGGTGGGTGCCGGCGAAGTCCCAACAAGGCGGCTATGGATAGTCAAGAGGAACCAAACGGCCTTGAGTCAACTGGTCAGGGGATCTGGAGCACAAATTGCGTTCTCTTCTGTCCTCCCAGTTGCAGGGAATGATGAGTTCAAACAAACCATGCAGGATTACATCAAGCACCAATAGAACTTAGAGCCATCATAAAATATTCAAACCATAGCTGATGTCTTATGCTGTCCAATTTAAATACTCACTTTCTGATTCTTTTGACTTGCTGTCAAACAGAAGTGCTTTCAGAAGTGCTGTCTAGTTTGAAATTTTGTTATTGGTCATGTACTGCTCAATGTATGTCTTTCATCCCCATTGTTGGTTCCTCTTTGCCTTGTGTCAATGTTAATATTTCATCCATCACACTTAGAGCTGGAGCAGGGAGCCAGTATGGATAGAAGCAGGAAAAGTGTACTTAGTTCAGTTAGTTATAGGTGTTCACCTGCTAATGGCTTAATGAAACCAGCTAAAAACCAACTTTTTGTGTATTGGGCTAAATTTCTTATTTTATATAGACTATTTCTACAAGTTTTTAGGGTTTTTAAATTAATAATGTAACTTCTGTGAGATTTTAATTAGAGTAATGGTTATAAAATGTGCAGTAGAAGAGCATAGAGCTCCTCTTGGGACTGAAAACTGTGTTTTCATATTTTTTTGTTGTTTCTAACCTTTATTATTATTCATAATGCTGTTGTAGCAGCATATAAAAGTCACTGTTCCATGATAAATATTTTAATTCCTTTTTTTGTCAATTGATATACTTCTCTTTAATGACTTCCAAGATGGTAATGTAATGTTGGTTTTAATTTCACATCGACCTCTGTAATTTCAAGGTTTCATATAAATATAAACTGGATTTTCTCTCACTCCATTGCAGAGGTTGGAGAGGTTTTCTCTGGTTTAACATTTCCGTGACTTCTTTTCACACATCTTTAAGCATTAAAAAATTCTTAATGTTCTAACATGTGAATGGTCTGATCAGATTAATAGATTACTGTGACTATAAATTATTTTTCACGAAAGTTTTGTTTGATATAGATTGTACTGGTTTGGGGCAGAACACTGAGACCGGATCTAGTTTAATAAAGCACCACTTGATATATTTAATGCAAAATGACTGCATATATACTCAGAATATTTTAACTGTTCATAGCTGATGTAAATGCTTTCATCTACTTAAAATCAAGCTGATTTCTGTCCTATGGATCTGCTGCTTTGTCACTGTGTAGGTAGTGCGTATAGTTTACGTATTACTATTTGCAAAATCAGGAGCATTAGTACCTTAACTCTTAAAGTACATACTTTAGAGGTTATATACAGTAACCTGTCCCGTGACTGGGACAAAGTAAGGACAATAAGTTTGTTTGTTTGTTTATTGTATTTGTGGCATTGTACTGTTGAATCAAAAAATTTGTGTGTGTGTAATTGTGTATAGGCTTGGGTTTTGGGTATGTTATATACTGATTAACTTTTGTTGATTATTTCTAGGAAGTGGCTGTTTTTGTCTTTGATAAGAAGCTAATAGACAAGTATCAAAAATTTGAAAAAGATCAGATTATTGACTCTTTAAAACGAGGTGTTCAACAGCTAACCAGGCTTCGACACCCTCGACTACTTACTGTTCAACATCCATTGGAAGAATCTAGGTAAGCTCTACTAAAGTTGAGAAGAGACATTTTTAATCATTGTTTTGGTATTGAATGTAAAATATCTGGAACACTGAACACACACATCTGATGAGATTCAAGTTTACTGTATTTATTCATAGAAGAATTGTTCTTTCTATACTCAGCACATTCAGCTACTGGTAGAAACACCAGAAGTACAAAACCTGTCCAGTTGCTTGCTGTGCTAGAAAGTGATGTAATGGTTTTTGGAGGGGATTCATAAAAGAAAGGTTTGCTTAGAATATTCGTGTGTGTAACATTGTGCAAGCATGCTATAAGATTTCTTTAGAATTTCAGGTCTTCCCAGAGCACCTATTCTTGAAGAAATCCGTCATGGGCTCCTTCTGGAGACACTGTACCTGGTCTTTTTCTTTTGTGTCTCCCAAGTAACATACAGTTGTGTTGAACCGTTGAACACTTTATTCCTCCTTTATGGGGGAAATGGATACTTGATGTACCTGCACAGTTGAAGTAGAGAAAGAAAGAAAGAAAGACCATATCTTTCTGAGCCTAGTGTGTAGGTAGTTTTCCCACTATTAATAGCATGTGTCTACTACAAATTATTGGTATTCAATATAATTATATTTATATAATATATATAATGATGTATAGATCTTTACATGCATTTATATAATGAATAACTCCTTATTTATACTAAATATTTAATATCAATATGTTTTCTTACAACTTGTCAGTTAATTCCATTAACAAAACTGGTAACCGATATTCATCTATATTTAACTTGTTATTGGAGAAAAGGATTAAACAAACAAGTTGAAAGTTAACTTATACTATCACTGCTACCCATTAAAAATAGTAGTGTGAGGAGTCCCAGATAATTTACTAGACATTCAATTTGTTACATTGTTTCCCTGTAAAAAGCATATGTGGTTTTGGCCATCATTTTTATTTTTAAAGTGTTTTCTTTTTTTTATCCTACTATTAATTTCATTCTCATATTATTCAGGAACCGTTAGAGAAGCTGCACTGTATGGCAGACATCAGCTTTTGCAATATTCAGTTACTTTAATTAGATTTACTGCATCCTTCCATTACTTTGGTTTGGACCCTTTAATTAGCTTCTAAAGCAGAAAATAAACGCTCGTCTTTTTATTCCCTCAAAACAACAGTAATCACAGAGTTTATGTTATGAAAACCACTGAATAGTTCCCTAGGTATTTTCTATCATCCGTGCCCTCAACCATAACTAAATGTATAAGCTCTGTGGTAAAGTTGAAGTCAGATTGAAAATGAATGACATTGTCTTTCTGTGCTCTGATTCTTCCTTGTGATTTCAACAGAAACAACTTTTATAGCCCTGGTTGTGCTAATAGACATGTGAAAGGTGTGTCATTAACAGAATGGTAGGGAGGAAACCAAGCAAAGAAGTTCTGTCAGGTTGGCTGACATCTATGATTCAGTATATTTTACTTTTCAGTTGTTTTTCCTTTAAAGAAGCAGTAGATAAAACTGAAATCTGGATGAGTAATAGGAGGTTTGCATGTTTCAGCAGCCTTATTTTATGTCAAAGGCCAAGCTTATTAATTATTAAAATACTTTAAAAGTATGTGGGAGGTCCGTGCTGAGACATTGTGATATTTTTATGGAAAGAACAAAAATTTAGGTTCTATCTTCTTGCCTGCAGCTTTATATTCAAAAATATATCTTTGTTACTCTTACTCAGTGTCTGTTCTCTCTATTCATACTGATGCAGTATTTAGTGTTCTCATGAATTAGTCATCCTTAAAGCATGTATGTGTGCTACTATCCATGTAATGCTTTCTCCAAAAAAAACTTTCATACAATTAGGAAGTGATTTGTAATGACTGTCCAGGGCCTCCACCACTGTGCAGACTAGTATGAAGAATGTGGATATAAAGAATGACTCTGTGTTGGAGTTTGGGAAACTAAGACATATATTGGTTTCAGCATCAATTTAGAAATTTGGAATTTTGAAGCACAGTGTTATATGTCTACTTTATGTGCAGAAGTTTGCTTCAAACACAGTTGGCACAAAAACGCATAAACAAGACCAGTAGTTTTACATGAAGAAAAGAATCGATAAAACAACTTAGAAAACAGTCACTTCATATGCAAACTGCAGTTCATACAACAAGTGTATTTGTGTTTGCAGCTCTTCTTTTCTACTACTTTGCAAAGAAAAAGAATATTCAGGTGCTACTTTATATTATATTAATTTTGTTTCTGATCATTGACCACATTAAGTATTGCTTCAATCAGGGACATGTCGATTTTAGGCACGGGTAAAAGCCTGATTTTACAAGTCTTAATAGTAGTAAGAATTATTTGCTTGATCTTCTTGGATCAGGACAAGAATATCTTTTTTTTGTTAAAACTTTTTATGAAGCACTGTGTGTATCATTAGTGATTTATGTGAATGTTAGAGAATAAAATAACTTAATTCTAGTATTTTTTTAATACTTCAGATATTGATATATTTCTCTTTAGTATAATATTATAAGAATTCAAAACCTGAAATATAATATGGTTTTTGGTAGCACCAAGTGCACTGGTAGGATATAATATGATGCTTGCATGGTTCTTTATTCACAATCAGGAGACTTATTACATTTACTTACAAGAAATTCTTTAATGCATTTCCTATACAGGGATTGCTTGGCATTTTGTACAGAACCAGTCTGTGCAAGTTTAGCTAATGTTCTTGGCAACTGGGACAACCTACCTTCTCCTTTACCATCTGATATTAAAGAATACAAACTTTATGATGTGGAGACCAAATATGGTTTGCTTCAGGTATGACAGGTTGTCCTTACAATTTTCATGTGCATTTAGTATTAATAATTTTTTTATGAAGTCTGTAAACTGACAAAGTTTTGTCTACCTCTAGTAAATCAAATAATTGCAAAGTGAGAGATAATAGTGTCCTGATCACTCTAAGTGGGAGAGAGGATTAACACTGGAGGCTCTAAGTTATTACTCTTTTTTGCTTATTTTTACATGTAAAACACAAAATTCAATTAATTTTTATTTTCTGTGTAAATGTCCATGCTACAGCTGTCTCTCCTCTATGTGAAACTTTACCTTCTGTGGAGGACCAGTAGCTCCCAGGTTTTGTTTGGCGAATATACTGATCAACTTTGTAAAGCATTTTTGTTCTTCTAAGATCATAGTGCGGCCTGAGGGGAGGGGGAAATGCACCACCACACTTATGCTGTGATGGACATTAGCTATCTCATCTGCTAATTATCCATCTGTGTTTAATTTTCTTCATGCATAGTTTCCAAGACGTAGGCTAAAATAGTGGTGAAAAATTGTTTCTTAGTTAATTTATGAATTTAATTGTGACTGTAGGAACAGAATTTTTATAAATGTCTTACAGGATGTTTGGGGAAATACTTAACCTGAAATAACGATCTTTTATTAACAGGTTTCTGAAGGCTTGTCATTTTTGCATAGTAGTGTGAAAATGGTCCATGGAAATATTACTCCTGAAAACATAATTTTGAATAAGAGTGGAGCATGGAAAATTATGGGCTTTGATTTTTGCATCCAGTCAACAAATCCATCTGAACAGGAGGTAATAATCTTTATATTTATCATCATTAAATTTCAAATTCAGATCTTTGTCTGAAACCAGTTTCATGACCTTGTGTTCCAGTACAGAATCATTTATTTAATATTCACCTCTATATTTTGGTGGCAGGAATTTTGAACATATGGCACAGGTCTGGATTTAATTGCTGCATTTAGTCATCACAGAAAAAGAGTCTGAATTGGCTCAGTGGAGTCAAAACAGACTAGTGGTGTTTTCAGACAGAGGCTGAAGCCTATGCCACTTGTGCTCACCTGCATGTTGGATGACATGCAAAGCTACCTAATTTAATCTGTTGCATCCACTCAGTGCCTGATTACTACGTCCTACAATGAATTTCCATCATAACATGTTTCTCTCTTACAGAGGTGCTTTGATTTTTACATTACAGTTCCCAGCTTTAATATTCAGACTTAAATGTGTCAGCTAATCACTCTAAGCTACAGACAGAGATTCTTAACAGTTTTGCCTTACTCTGATTCTGTTTGATTCATAATTGGATTTGAGTAGCTTAGTTATTTTTTGCTGCTTGAGTTTCTTATTGAAAATACTCTTTAAAAATCCCTAATAAATGTACTTTCTTTTACTTTTCTTCCTTCTCTTGTAGCCAAAGTTCCCTTGTAAGGAATGGGATCCAAATTTGCCATCCTTGTGTCTTCCAAATCCTGAGTATCTGGCACCAGAATATATTTTGTCTGTGAGCTGTGAGACAGCTAGTGATATGTACTCTCTGGGAGCTGTTATGTATGCAGTGTTTAATAAAGGGAAACCAATTTTTGAGGTCAACAAGCAAGATATTTATAAGAGCTTTAGTAGACAGCTGGATCAGGTATTCTGTTTGTTACTATTATTCATTGATTTTCATATTTGAAAAGTTATTGTTTTAAAATAGATTAAATATGTAGAACACTGTATCAGTGCTTCAGCATAAACCATCTGATAATGGTATCTTGCCTTGCACACTGTCATAACAAGAAAAAAAGAATCCTAGAAAAATATGGGAAATAAAAACATATCTAGAGAAGATTACATGTACCAACTTTATAAACTACAGATTGCATTTTTCATCTGAATTCTCTGTAAACCTGTTGAATACTGGTCTTGTGGAATAATGTTTACTTGTTGGAGTGAACAGTATGAAACATATGGCAGTGAATTACCTATGTAGGACCATTGAAAGAGGGCTGAGTTTGGAGTGATTTGATCACTTGACATGGTAATTGGTATCCACGTAGCTATCACTATTTTGCATTCTTTGTGGACTGTGCATATTAACAGAAGACAGTGTCATGGTTTAAGCAGTTAATTGGATCAGCTGACATAATGTCCATTCATATGCAACCTACCTTTGTCATAACTCCTTTGGGTGCCCATTGCCATAGCTGTGTGCCCTGTGTTTTAATGTTTGTAGACAACACCTCATGTAATGACATTTGCCTGTTTAAAGATCCCATGTTTGTGTTCTCTGATAACCTGAACTACAATGGGAAGTTGAAAATAGTGGAATGGGACCTGAAACAGCTAGACTGTTGGGAAACAGAGAGAAGACTATGAGGACTCAGAAACAAACGGGTTATAGAAGGGGAGATGGGAGGGATATCAAAGGTGTGGGTAGAAAAACCATCAAGTATAGTCCTGTTGTATACTGGAAATAGTTATATACAGGATTTTCTGACTTCATGGTGCATGTGCTTAAATTACTTACGCAGCTGAGCCGTTTAAGCTCCAGTACTCTTCAGAATATACCAGAGGAGGTGCGTGAACATGTAAAGCTACTCTTAAATGTAGCTCCAGCAGTCAGACCAGACGCAGATCAAATGACTAAGGTCAGTTCATGGAAAATAAAGTAGCCATAGGATAGAGGGGAAATAGTGTTTGATCTGTAGATCTATTTTAAAGTGGTTTTTGTTAATCATTTTAGTTGAAATGTTAAATGTTTTTGAACTATTTTGGAAATAATGTTTGTTGATGCCAGAAGTTGTCCTTATGCTGACCTTTGTTTATATAGAAAAAGTGGGTGCTGAGACAGAATTTAGAATAATTATTCAGTGCAACACTGTTTTATTCCTTTTCAATACAGTTGGAAGCTTCTCTATGCTATGTTTTTATACAATTCAGTCTTTAAAATTGTATTGGAAGGATTTTGAAATGATAAAATGATAAAGGGCTATAAATGTAAGCATTAACTTTTGGCTTATGATTTAAATATGCAGAAGAATAAAGTATATTCAGAAATTAATTGCAAGTAGGATTATGTAAGTTTTCATTTGACAAACCGTTGCTCTGCTTTCCTATCTGAAAGTAGAACTTAAAAGCATGGTTCTTCCTTTATCTTATACCCCTTTTTCTTATATCTGATAGCCTTTCAGGTTTCTGTTTATAGATTTGCTTTGCTAAATAATTTTATTCTTTTGCTGTCACATAAAAAGATCGTACGCAGAGAGAGAAATCAGTGTTTTAACAGTTGGAAGAAATAGTGAGTGAAGAAGAGAGGGGGAGCAGGTAATGACTTCTGTCAGCATATGTGCTGAAAGATGGCAAGTGAGGGAATTGGCAAATATTTCTCCAGTATCAACTCACTTGTCTGAAGGAATAAAACAAATCTGTAAATGGTTGTATTAAGCAGTTTGGTTTTATAAAGATGTTAAGTCTTTTTTGCCACAGGTACACTGCACACTGAATTGTAGAGTAGAGATATTAGAGCTTCCAGGGTTTCCTGGAGTTTCCAGGGGTGGTAGCCAGATCTCTGTGACTTAATAGGTAATCCCTTATTGTAATATTAAATAGCATAATTATTCCTAGGAGAACTTTTAATCAAAGTTTTTACTTTTCATTACATTTTTCTGTTGACAAAACATTATTTCATATACATTAAGTTAACTTAGGTGCACGTAACATACATGGGTTTTTTAAAAATACCAGGAAAATTCTGTCTGAATCAACCTGTATCTGTGAATATTATACTACTTGGTGTCTAAAAATGTTCTCATTTTTAGTTGCAGACACGTCATTGTAAAGGTTTCCTATAGGGCATTGAAAATGTAAATAGATGATTATATTTTGGAATTATTGTAGCAGTGTCAGTGTTGTCTCCTTCCAGATCACAAACTTTTAATCTTATCTTTAGATACCATTCTTCGATGATGTAGGAGCAATGACACTTCAATATTTTGATTCATTATTTCAAAGGGATAACCTGCAGAAATCACAGTTTTTTAAAGGACTACCAAAGGTTCTGCCAAAACTACCTAAGGTATGTTTGAATGATGTTTTGAAATAGCGAGTTAGAAAATATGTGAACATCTGTTAGCGTTCTGATTTTTGGAAGCTGGAATTTCTTTACTGTTGTACCATAGTAGACTGCAATGAGACTGTCAGAATAGAGCAGTAGGAAAGAAAGGGAGATTAGAAAACAACTAGTTTGGAAATACTCCTCAGCTTTAAATAATACTTTAAATGGAAAATGGCAAATCGTGCTATCAATATGTGTAAGGAACCATCATTTGCATGTCCTGTTGTAGTTCACCCCAGTTTAAAGGCAAGTTGTCTTCACTTGCAAGGCTTTCACTTTGTTTCCAGGTGCTATCATAGCTCTTGGAAGTCATATTGGGAGAAAAGGCAGCAAGATGATTGCTTCAAGTTTTTTTCATAGCAAGGCAGTACTTTAGTGTTGAATAGTCTAAAGTTTCCTTCCGTTAATAGACTAAGTGCTTTCTTGTGCTGGCAGTGCCCAGAAATCTCAAAGGCAAATGCCTGTCATTACAGATTTCTTCTGTGTGCTGTTAGACACTATGTCTAGACTGACTTCTTTTCCTTTTATGGTATACCTTAATTTATATAAACCATAATGCATATGTGATAGAAAAATAGTATTAGTTTAATACCTAATAGAATAATGGAGCTTCTCAACCATTGCATTAAATTTCTTTAATTCTGGTTTGCACTACACAGTGTCAAATTCAGACTTCATGTTTAATACTCTCTTCTTTTTAATTTAGTAATTTTCTCCTTTGATCAGAAATGGTTGCTGCTTTGAATTTGGAAATAGATGGCATGTATTTCACTTAACTTTAGACAGCCACGGACTGACCTAATCATCTTCAGGGCATTCTTTTTTTCTATTCCTGTTTTGAAAGTATGTTCTATGAGGGAAGTGGCTGTGCCCTTGGACTGTATATTTCTGTGTATTGACTTGAAAAGCATTTAAGGATGTCTGACTCTGCAGTAGACATCCACAGTGCAAATACCTGTTTCATCAACAAAATCCTATTTAGGGGATGTACCTGGAGTTTTACTGGGAAGTACAGTATCATTATGTGTTTGTTGAGTGAATGATGGGGAACAGAAAAAGGGATTATTTTCTGGGGGTGGTAGGGTCTTTTTTAAGGGTCTTTTTAAAGAAAGCATATAGAATAAAGTTTTCTTAATTCATGTATGTGATTGAAAGTCCTATTTTCTGTACAGTTTATTGCTTTGTTGAGTTTGTTGTACAGTTTGTTGTACAGTTTGTTGTACAGTTTGTTGTA